GTTCTTCTGTGGCGCAACAAACAGAACATACACAGAGTTTACTGGGGCACCTCTTTCATGCTGTATTATTAATGCTGCAGTAAACTTCTGTGGTTTGAACAGTTGCTGTGGTAAACAGGAGGAGTAGGCAGGTGAACTGGGCAGCTCTGAGGCCTCTGTACAACTGCATGAATGTGAAAAAATGCTTTCAGCGCTGCATGAGTAAAAAAAAAAAAAAAAAAAAACGATTGCCGGCACTTGAAAGAAGCCTCCTGAACAGCATCCTGGGAGCTGATGTTAGGGCAATTTGCTGACATTTTCAAAGACCTTTACCAGGCAGGAACCCACATGCTTACCATAATAAAACCCCACTGACCTCAACTGTGCAGACACACAAGAGCTCGCTCAGTTATTGGCACAAATGATGTCTTATGATCTCAACAGGCTTCTGTTTGCACAGCAGAGAAAGACTGTCATTCTAAATTCCTCCTCTGCTGCAATTTTTAAAGAAAACTCTTCTACAGAAGGAAAGCTTGACTGCACAGACTGGGTTTTGGCATTTTCAGTTTCACTTTGAAAAGCTAATGTAGGTTTGTGAACAGATCCCTGTAAACATGTTCAGCTAAAGCCCATGTATCAACCGATGTTTTCGTGCTGAAATCAACTCCTCACTGTTGCTGAACACAGTTTGGGACAGAGTTTGTGGTGTGCTGGCAGAATGTCGCGTGCTGCAGAGCCTCCAGAGACACTTACTGCTTCACTTTGCAGTGCTTCTGTCAGGTTAACCTCATTTGTGTAAGAGATACAGCATTGCTTTGTGCTACTAAGTGCAGATGGGATCATTTTACAGTAACTGTTATGTCTTGAAGTTGAACTGTAATGTATTTGATGGTATATATAATCAAAGTCAGACATGTTACACTAAACACACACCATTCATCAATGAGATTCTTGAACTTTTGAAGATAAGTTGACTGCTCCTGGGCGTTCTGCTGGAGCTTTGTTGCTCAGCATGTTGGATTCAAATCAGGGGACAAACTGGGTCAGATGGTTTCTCTTGTTTTCCTCTTTAACACTCTGAATCCTAAAACCCACCAGCACATTTGACATGCATGTTTTTGTTGTTGTTGTTGTTGTTGTTGTTGTTTTAAAAAATAAAATATCAGAACCAGAAACCTTAAAAACAGAAAGAATTGTTGGATTTACAACTTTCCAACAGTCTGTAAAATGTTACCTCATGTTCTGTCAGAAAAAAGTTTAAATAATTACATTTTGGATACACGAGAAAAAGGATATATAATATTGTTTTTAAAAAATACAATTTCTGTGCTCTGACATATCTGAGAACTCATGACTGACTCTGCTGTGATCAACAGTCATGTGACAAAAATTCAGAGTTTTCAGGTGAACTGTAGGTTGTGTTTACACAGAGCAGAGAAGAAACAATAAGAGAAATAAATGCGGATGGCGAAAAAAAAGAAAAAGAAGTATACAGAGGAGCAAGTCGTTGGAGGATACATTAAGCATAGTGAAATATTTTCCTAGTTTCTAAAACCTCCAGTTTGTAGAGGTTTTAAAACTGTGCATAGTAAAGTATCTGTAGCATGTGGAGCTATAGACCTGGTGAAGTAACCACATCCATGCCAAACATGCTGGGCTCCACTCGATCCAAACATTTTGATTTTAGTTTAATCTGAGCAAAAAATGTGCTGCCTCTGTTCATCATGATGTATAACAAGGTTTCATCTTGTGCTTTGCGAGCAGTGGTTTTCTTCTTGGTTAGAGGTTGACTTGATGCAAAGTTGTTTCTTGTGCCAAGAATTGCATCAGAGGTACCGACACAAGGTTGTCTCAATGTTAAACTGTGCATGTCGTAATTTTTTCAAGTCAGCCACTGCACCATCTATGGCTCCTACTTCACCTGCTAATATCCTTAAGTGTGAGTCTGTTCATGATTACTTTGGTGCAAAGGAAAACTGAACCCTTGTGACAGAAGGAGTTTGTTGGAGCCTCAATTTCATGTAAGATCAATTAAACTAGACCAAATTAAGGAAACCTAAATTCTTCACAATTTGAACATTGATTCAATGTCTCAGTAACGCGACATCTTCTCTCACCAACATGCATTTTGCTGTGTGGCCGCACAAACACTTTTGTGTAAAATTTGTGTATAGTTGAGGTTAAATATGAATTTGGTCAAACATGACTTTCCTCTCAATCCCTGCTTAGTATTTCACTTCATAAGACAATTTGTAGAACATATAGCACAGTAAAATGTATCTATAACTATACATGTCATAAAAGTATTACAGAGTTTTTGTTCACTCTCTTTATAGGCACATGTGACTGATATTAGTTGGATGTTCAGCAAAGACTATTGTGTTACTTTTTCGTGTGTGTAAAAGTCGATAAAGCCTGTGCTGCAACACATTGTTCACACAGGTGCACTTGTAAATAAGTGAATATAAAGAAAATACAAGCTTTTAAGTGTGCATTTTCTTTGTGTTTGTTGCTGTTTTTCTGCATTGATTTCTTGGGGATCCCCCACAGTCACAGGATGCCTGTGTAAATGACACAGCAGCAGCAGAACCACCACTATCAGCCGTTGTCAGAGGTGCAACAATGTTAGTATTTGCATACATTAGACTAAGTCAGCAGGGCTGTTTGCTCACAGATAATGAAGCCAGCAGTGACTCTGGACACCTGTAAAGGCAAGTGGCAACCTAAAAAAGCTCACCTGTGTGACAGTTCAGCTCAGCACCACATTTCAAATGGAAATCTGCCTCAGATAGCAGCCTCATCAGGAGACCAAATACTGACAAGTTGGATCAGTTACAAGCAAACATGCATGTTCCATATACAGTATTTCAGATATCAGAGCGAGCACTGGGATGAGTCTTTTCAAATTCACCAAAAAAAAAAGTTGTTTGGTCATATCTTCTACATTGACACACAGCGGGTGTTTTTCTGTCAGCATCCTCTGTGCCTCCCAGAACTGCTGCAAATCCCTGCAGAGAAATAAATCCATTTTACAATGCGACAGCGCTCTGTTAAAGCGTGATCAGGTTTTGGGAAGCATCGTTAAACCACATATTAAAGTCGTCCTCTTTGTAACCTTTTCAGAGCAAAGTACAACAATAATAAACACAAAAAATATATATGTTTTTGTCATTTGAAAGTTTTATTTTCTACAATCATTTATTGGTAATGCAACAAGTTAACCTGCACTCTGACAGTACTCAGCTCTACTGGGATAATATGGTACTATGAGGTCTGTAAGAAAAGATAGAGTTTGGTCATTAGGAGCTTTGTATGAGAGGTAAACGATTTTAAATTCTATCCTGGATCTTATGAGGAGAATTTAACATGGGAGAAATATTATCTCTCTCGTTGGTTCCTGTCAGAACTCTGGCTGCAGCATTTTGGATCAACAGGAGGTTTTCCAAATTTTTTTGGTAGATCCTGATAATAAGAAATTACAATACTCCAGCTTTGAAGCAACAAATGCAATGACTCCATTGTTATCATCGTTCTAAGACAGGGTGCTCCTGATTTTGTCAATATTGCAGGAAACTTGTTCTATGTGTGAGTTAAAGGGCATGTAGTTAAAATGTAGTCCAAGATTAGCCCCTATGACCTCTACACTTTAGATTAGTAAGTCAGTCGCCTTTTATTTACAAATGAGTTATCAGATCATGATTGTTTTTGTGCTTTGGCAGTCTCCTAATGTACTTTTAATGAGAAAATAACTGTGAATTGCAGCTGAGCTATCCCCAATTAGTCCCTGCAATGTTTAAAATACCCTGAAGTTTGTTGTTATTGTTGCTGGATATCTAGATTTAAAAAAAAGAGTTCTGTCCTTGGCACAATAATAAAGCATTTTCCAGTCTAATCAAGTATCAGTGTGGTGCAGTGGGTCTATGTATCTGTAGCTTTGAGATATTTTATTATATCAGACAAAGTGAACCAGAAAAGCTTATATTGGGCTTTAATAGACTTTTCAGTTCATTAGATACTCGTTTTTGAACATTATTCTTAATTTTATCTGACAAGTTTTGTTTTCTCATTTTATATCTCTATGTTTTATGTTGTTATTTTGCAAGTTTTACTACAGATGTTTATGACTGTAATTTCAGAGTAGATTAGTTCTCTGACTGTGCAGGAGAGAGCTGACTGACACACACACACACACACACACACACACACACATTGCAAACGACAAGTAAAATTAACAATAAATTTCCCATTTCAGACACTTCTTTTCAATAGTGCCTTTGCAGGACATTTGCTGTATAAAATGTGTCCTTGTACCTACAGAAAATCACAATTGCAAGAAATGTAGCACAGTTAAAACTAGATATTTTCTGATGTATCTGTTCGTGGTGGTTTATTTTACATGTGTAGACATGCTTGGAGAGCTAACAGAGTTCTTCTCCATTAAAATTCACTCCAAACTGAAGAACGTTTGTGACGTTATAAAACACCACATTGCTGCGACGCCTTTCTTTCTGTCTGTCTGTTTTTTTTGTTTTTTTTAAAAACTTTTTCAAAACACTCAAAACTGGTTTGGGTTTTAGAAAGTATAAATACTTCTGCGCCTGCGCAGGTCACAGACTGGGAAGCGATCAAATCATGTCATGTGACGATAATATTTTCAAAATAAAACGCTCTAACACGATTTTAAATTAACAAATCTAAAAAATTTAAATATAAAATGGAATAGACGGAAAAAGCGTGTAAATAGGTAAAATTATTGTTTTTTGTACCATTTACTTCTGAAGCAAAACTAACTTCATCCAGGTAGTATTGTTTGTTTTAAAAATGATTAGAATATATTATATTGTATTTATTATAATAATTAGATAGTCTTTCAAATAAACAACTAAATATGTTGTTTGGTCATATCTCCTACACTGACACACAGTAGATATTTTCCTCAGCATAAGACTGATACCAAAAGTGCGTTTAATGCCAGTTCCTTTGTCTTATATTGAAAGTCTGCCGGATATGACCCGGGCTAACTGCAGGAAGCCTTTAGCCGTGAAAGTTCAGCTCGCAGCCTAAACTCCCGGTCGTTGGCTCCTGCAGGAACAGCAGCATGGCTCCGCTGAAGTTCTGCGCGAACATTACATGGTTGTTCACGGAGCTCCCGGACTTCAGCCAGAGGATGTACGCAGCTGCCGCGGCCGGCTTCCAGGCTGTGGAGGCGGCCTGGCTCTACGACTCGGACCTGCAGGAGCTCCAGAGAGCCAGAGAGGCCACCGGGCTGGAGGTGGTGCTCATCAACACCCCGCCAGGTAACGGCAGCTTCTCTGCACCCGACTGGGTCCCTGAGCAGGTGGTAGTTATGCAGGAGGTGGTAATGAGAGGTGTGCTGTGTTGCAGGTAACGTAAAAGCAGGAGATCTGGGTCTTGGAGCGGTTCCTGAAAGAGAAGCAGAGTTCAGACAGAGTCTGGATCTGGCTGTGAAGTATGCTCGAGCTTTGCACTGCAAGAGGTGAGACATCAGCTGATCACTAAAACGGTTTGCTGTCCATTCCTCAAATTAAAGAGTGTCAACGTGTTCATTAATTGTTATACTTGTGCTTACTAAAGAAAAGGCAAAGCAAATGATGGTATGACAGCACCTTTCAAAAACGTAAAGAATTTTTTTGGAGCTGATTATACAGTAAAACATTTTACAGTCACACATTTTAAATGAACGAGTTACTATATTTTAAGAAATACGAATTTTTGATGTGGACATTATGTTCCAACCTGCATTTTTTACAATCTAAATGTAAGTTACATTTTTTTTTTCTATAATGTTATATAACTGCTGCGGAAGTATTTCCCATTTTTCAATCCTTAATGTACAAAATTTTTCCTTTAAGTAACACCAAAAAGTGTTGTTTTACAGTCATATGTTGTAATAACACAAGTGACTTTTTTTTTTTAAATACAGTTTTTTTTTTTACATTAGACATTAAATACAGATTTGACCTTTTTGTTTTTTAACAATCAGTGTGTACATTTTTTTTCTGTGACTTTACAAAATATTTTTTCTAATTTAACAACAGAGATAATCTGTAAAAAACAAAAAAAAGATTTTTTTTCCCCTGATCCCTAATATATATAATGTCTTCCAAATAACAGAAAATGTCTGTAAAATACTTTTTTTCTGATTCAAATACAGTAAAAATAGTGTAAATTTACTGTTGAGTGAATTACTTTTTGTCGATAGATTTAGTTTTTTTGTTTGTTTTTTTTTTTGCCATTTTTTATGGTTAATATGTAAATTAACACATCTTTAAATTAACATTTAAAAAAATTCTTTACAATGTAAATGTACAGGTGTTACTGGAAAATGTTTAATGTGATTCTAATCTATTAAATCTATCTCTAAATCTATTGCACAGTTCAAAGTTGTGAATTGCCATAGCCAATGTGTCTCACTCATTACACACTTCATGTCACACTTTACTCTGCTGATAACAGCTGCATCACACAAAATTAGAGGAAACAATATGAGTCAGTATACAGGCTGAGGCCGGAGTCCTTATGATCAGCACATTAAGACTCTGGGTTAATCATGCCATCCATGAATTAGAAATACTGCCAAAGTCAAATCATTGTTTGCCAGAAACATTGTTGAAACAGTTTCTCCACACCCTCATTTTCCCCCACCTGGACTATTGTAACTAACTGTTCACTTACCTGAACAATGCAGCAATCATCCGTGTATAGCTGATTCAAAATGCAGCGGCAAGATCACTCAGAAACACATCATTCCATTCGTGGCTGAATTACTCTGGCTCCCTATTCAGTACAAAATTCAATTTAAGATTCTCTTGATTACTTTTGAATCTCTACATAGTCAGGCTCTGTCCTTAATAAGTTGTGCTGCGCCTAGACCTGGATGTTTAGTAATGCCACTGCAGTTTTGACAAATAAAGTTTCTAATAATGATAATAACAATAATAGTTACAGTATTATGAGTAGTAATGGTATAAAAGTCATCTGACTGGCTGCATCGCACAAGTAAGAACTGGTCAACACTGAGTGATAACGGTTAAACAGTTCCCCTTTAATTAAGCATGTAAAACATAAATAGTCATTTCACAAAATCTTTGTGTTTTATGGAGTTTCTGTTGTCCTTAATTTTGTCAAGTTCTTCAGTGTTACAGCAAACATGTATATCGGTTCTTAGTCTCATTGATTACTAATAATTGGTATTGATATCAGTCCTGAAAAACCATATCCATCAACCCTTACTTTTAGCTCAGTGTTTTAGTTTTACAGCCTCAAGGTAACCTATTCGGTTCACTCTCATCAACCTTCTCCAGCAGCAGCAGGCAGCTGTGATCAGTGGAAAGATTGTTTTTATTATAATTACTGTAAGTCATAATTTGAGCGAGCAGGAATAGCGAGGTGCTAGAACCCAGAGAATGGAGCTTTGAGGAACTCCGTGTGTTATTTTTCTGTTTGCTCAGATCAACACAAAGTCGGCTCTATCCTGCAGGTGGGATATGTTTTTTTGTTTTTTTTTTTCTTCCCACTGTAGACATTTTGACATGTCGCAGCAGGAAAAGCTCAGGTGTGAATAATAAAATCCATTTGTTTCATGCTGACTCACTGTCAGGGTTACCGGGACACCGGAATAGAACAGAGCCATCAATACTAACACCTACGATGACAAGACAATATGTCCTCTGTGAAAAATGTATTTTCAGACTCGGGACTGTGCCAGAGAGTTGTTCCCAGCTCCACTAATCTCTATCAAATCAGCTGCAGTGTCAAGATCTTCACACAACTTGCGCTAATTAGTTTGAAAATAGTGATTTCATGTCATTTGACAGACAGATTGTAATTTAAAATGTTTCAGAGCAGCAGTAGGGGAAGCAGTGTGTCAGCCTGTCCATGTTCCCTGGTCAGGATCCATCTGATGGCAGGGAGGTTTCCTGAGGACTCTGACCGAACGGCGGTTGCCAAGAACATGGAGGCCGTCTTTGTGCAGAACCTGAGCTATGCTGCTGACGTCCTCGCTAAGGTGGGAAACCGTGTCACCTAACAGCATGAATATACTGTAGTAAAGTAGCTCTTAGGCTTTTTATAGGTGCAGTTAAACGCAGTAATCTCAAAAATGTTCATTCTCAAAAAGCACAATAAAAGCAAATATGTTACGTTAAACTTTCTGAACCCCAAAATCCACCAGCGGGTTTGGAAGGCCTGTTATCTTTAAAAAAAAAAAAGAAGCTAAAATTGCACAGCTCATCAGCCAGAAACTGTAAAATCAGAAAGAATCGATAGATGTTTAGACACTAATCATGTGTGACATTCAATTTAGTTGGAAAATTAACCAAGTCTAAAGGCCAATATGCCAAAAAAAAAAACATTTGCTCAAGATCCAGAAAAAAAAAACTCACTAAGAAATAATCTGCACACCGCATTTGAGAAACCAAAATTCAGGGACTATTCTGGTAAACTACATGCTGTTTAGACCAGAGATTCTCAACTGGTCTCACCCTGGGATCCACATTTTCCTATGATCATTAAGTTGCGACCCAATTTTTTTAGAATTCAATATTCAATATATTTTCCTGTGCAACATGCATTTCAGAGCATATAACCATGCATAGTAACTGGACCATGACAACTGCATGTACAAAACTGCACAAAATAAATAAGGGCACAAAACAACATATTTTCACTCCATTTTGAGCAAATTAATAAGAAACTAAGGAGGACAGTGACAACTGCATATACAGAAGTGAATAAAATAAATATCAAAACTACTCAAAAATAAAGTTTTGGTCTAATCAGGTCATTTGTTGAAGGTAATGAGACAGTTGGACACGTCCTCTACTCTTGATTAGAGTTTCAAAGTCTGGGGTGACAGTAGACAGAGCTACTCTCAGATCATACTCAGTGTCCAACCTGCTCCTCTGCTGTGACCTGAGCTGGACCAAGGTAGAGAAGACACTTTCACACAAACAGGTTGAGCTGAATGGTAAGATTGTTTTAGCTGCAGGAGTGGCGAGGGATGAATACTCAGCCACCACATCGCTGCACCAGAAGTGGGAAAGGCTTACCTCCCCAAATCTCTCTTTCAGCGTCTGATCACATGACAGCTCCACCAGCTGATGCTCTCGTGCGAGCCACATTTCGTTGTCAAACAGTACAGGGAGTTAGTCTCAGACAGAAATGTGGCGATTTCTTATTTAAGTTAATAAAAGCGTGACAGCACCTTGCCCCTCGACAGCCAGCGGACTTCTGGTTGCGCGCAGGCTCCAATGGGCTGGAAGTGGCGGGACACACAGGCAGCTTTTGGCTACTTCTAGCTACTTCTAGCAGTGAAAAATGAGCCCACAATGAGTAAAAATGTGACAGGTACAACAACTACCCAAAAACTACTTGGACTTCAGACACTAACCAAGCACACTGACTTTGCATGGAGATGGTGAGGTGTTCCACTTGAGCCTTGTTCATTGTCTCCAACCCAGAGTCCTTGTTTTTAAGTTACCCCAGCACTGAAATGGAGTCTGATGGTATGCAGCCACAGGGGAATTTTTGGGTATGAAGGGTTGCTTCCCAGTATCGGACGTTTAATGGGTGCCCAATACAGGCTACACCCTCCTACAACAACACTAGTTCACCTGACTGGATGTGTTGCTCTTGGGCTTCAAACCTGAAGGCTTGGAGGCTTGTCTGGAAACTTTCTCTTGTGAAAGCAGCTCACTGAAATGAGTTCCTGAAAATAGTGCAGCTGCTGAATCTGACTTTATTTTAGCTTTTAAAACAGTTGGTTTAAAAGTTATTTTCCAGTGATGACAAGTCATGGTGGACGCCCCTCATTTGCATGAAGTAGCCTCCATCTCAGCTTTATACAGATGAGCAGCGGCCAACATGACACCTCATCTCTTGCAACGCAACGCTACCGGAATGCATTGCATGCCTGCTTTCTTAGGCAGTCACTGGGAAGCATTAAAAAGACAGATCCTGTGAAAATGTAGATTCCGGAGGTTTGTCTAAATAATGTTATGGGGAGCTGCGCCCACATACTCCCAGCTTGCGCCCTCTTACCAAAATGCCGACTGACCCTAGTAACACTTGGGCCATGTTCTTACATGCTGCCGCACAACATGCAATCTTCACGAAAACAATCTTCTCGGCCGTGAAAATATCCCAGCACCATCACAAGACAATGTATCTGATCATCAAAAACGTTAGAATGACTCCATGCCGAGGTGCCATATTGTTTTGGTGTTAGCTGCTCTCCCGAGATTTCATATAGGTTACATGCAAGGTCAGCTGACCTACACAGCGAGATTTCTCAAGACTGAATGACCTTTCACCTACTGGCGCAGGAGCTTTGACAGAAAAGGTCACGTCGCGAGCTGTTTTTCTTGACGCTTGGGCATTGAAAGATGTCATTCTGCGTCACAAAACGGAAGAAGGCAAAAGTCTGTCCGGGGTAGAAGAAGATGACTTCTTTTTTCTGCCACAAATCGGATAAAGATGGCCAGTAGTAGTAGTACTTGTCATGTTTTCATTTACAGAGTACAGTTGTATTACAATTCCAACCAAACAACAATTGCTCAACAACAATTGCTGACATAGCCTCAGAATGTCCCATTTAAGCTTCAATTTTTCAAAGGCTTCGCACCACAGAAGAGGGGGCAACCCCCTCCCCCTTCCGCACCATCCCCCCACTGGTCGCTTTGCGTCCTCAACGCGGTGTGCTCTCTCATACAATTTTTTTTCCTAGAAAAATCCCTGGATTCACAGAGACAGGTTGATATAAACGGGAAAGGTTTTTTTTAGTCATCTGTATTCACCTGCACTAATATATCCAGAACTCAGCCAGAGGCTTCTCCACAAACCTTTGCCTCAGCTGCGACATCAATCAATGACTTTCCAGTTCGGTTGGCGTTCCTGTCAACTTTGTCACTTTCCAATCCACTCCTCCGTACAGACATCGGCTGCTCTCTCTGAAATACCCCGAAAAGTGCATGTGCATCCGCCGAGATGAGCCCTGACACTGACCTGCACGTCGGCTTTTGACACATCGTCCTCGCTCTGAAAATCATCCAATTATGAAGCATCAAAGTGTTAGGAGCACTTCAGCCTGCCTGTAGTGTGGGCTGCCTGGCTGGACTTCTCTGTAGGCTACAAGGATATTGTAGTATTTACTATAGTTGCTCCACTGTGTGTCCCACATCTCTTCATGTGACTGGAGTTACTCCAGAAGAGTGTAACTGAAATAACTGATTCTAATGAAAGAACTGCCAGTGGTAATCTGAATGTTCCTCACAGGAAGGAATCACTGGATTGATTGAACCAATCAACACAAGGATTACAGACCCCAGGTACTTTCTGGACTCTCCACATCAGGGTAAGACAACAACCTCGACCACTGACATGAACAACACAATGACTTGTTACTGCTCTTCAGTCAAATGAGGCAACAACTCTCGAAATGATAAAATTCTGTTGTTGTACATTTGTCTCTGTGGGACACCTGCAAACATTGCATCATTAAAACTAAGTTTGAGTTTTTTTTGTCTGTTATTCATCTTCGAGAGGCAGAGTAATCCGGTGAGCATAAGGATCAGAGGTGCTGAAGCTCAGTTTGTCTGCACATGGAAGCTGCCCATTTTGAACAGGTTTATTTAGGTTTTTCTGAGGAATATTTTAGAAAATTTAGACTTAGTTGGGACTCCAAATAAGAGAATTACATTAGGTCCAGCAAGAAGGTCGTTGGTTCGCGTCCCGCTGGGGGCACCCGGGATCTCTCTGCGTGGAGTTTGCATGTTCTCCCCGTGCAGTGTGGGTTCTCTCCGGGTTCTCCGGCTTCCTCCCACACAGTCCAAAAACATGTTGAGGTTAATTGGTGATTCTAAATTGTCTGTAGGTGTGAATGTGAGTGTGCTTGGTTGTCTGTCTCTAAGTGTAGCCCTGTGATAGACTGGCGACCTGTCCAGGGTGTCCCCTGCCTTCGCCCTGAGTCAGCTCGGCTAGGCTCCAGCCCCCCGTGACCCTAGTGAGGATTAAGCGGTGTATAGAAAATGGATGGATGGGCATTAGGTCCATCTGACTCAAAGCACAAAATTGTGAAAAAATGTTGTATTGGGAAAACTTAAACTTATGACAATGTATCAGGGCAATTGTAGGTAAACACAAAATTTGCAGAACCATGAAAGGAGGGTAATAGTTTTTGAAAAACTTAAAAACTACTTCATAGTACCAAGTCCATTTTAAAAACAAGCTAGCTCTAGCAAAACACTACAGCAGTCACCTGAGCTTTCCTAGTCAGCCCTGCTAAGGCAATTACTATAGTAAAATATCTTACTCTTTTCTCAAAGAGCCAGGGTTTATGTAAAGGACCCAACATTTATAATTGTGCAGAAACATTTTAAACCTTATTTTGGTGATTACACATTACACTGACCAGGTCTTGTTAGAATGTAATAACTGCTCTGGGTGTTACCAAGATGGTGACTGGTGAGATTTACTAAAAAGGAAATACTTGTAATTTTAGCCCAGAATCAGAATACCTGGTCTTTGAAGAGATGTTGCTGTGAACTGGGCCTATTCAGAAGAAAACAGCATACTGATGTGGATAAGGTGATGTCCTGGTGAAGGGCTCACTAACAGGTGGCAATCCAAGTTTACCAGCAGCATCTGAAGCAGTGTGGTTCCTTGATGAAAAAAAAAAACAAGCAGTTTTGTACTTGTTTTTTCCTCTTTCATTTTTGAAATTATTTGAATATTCCCCTGCCCTGTGATTTATTTATTTTTACCTACAAAGCCTCATACAAACATGCATTAAATAACTGAAATTGTTGTGAGGCAGCATTTAAAGCAAACAGGACTTTGGCAACTTTAATCCTTGTGTGCAACATAGATGCCATTTCTAGTTGAGCAGTTTCCAGATGTAACTTTTAGCCTTCTGATTGTCCCATCGGATGTGAATGTGTGAATAGGATGAAATAAGATGTCACCATGTTCTTTCAGTCGAAGTCATTTTGTCATCAATGCCAGTTTATGTAAGGTGTCTGTTACAATGAGGGGTTCTATGTTTAATGGTGCCTCCTCAGCTGAGGTGATACCGTAAGTGTGTCCTATTTGTAGCACTTGTCATGAGTAAATTGCCTCCTTTGTAGCAGTTTGTAATGTCCGGCTTCTTGTCACTCATTATGTCGGAGATGATTTTTTTCCCCTGATTTTTCTGTCTGCAGCCGCTGCAATACTGGAGAAGGTTGGAAAGCCAAACATCAAGCTGCAAATGGTAGGTATTTTGGAAATTTGTCTTCAATGGAGAAAATAAAAGGAATATCTTGACTTGATATCTGTTTCAGGACGTCTTTCACTGGCAGATAATGGATGGAAACCTGACACAAAACATACAGAAATATTTCCCCATAATTGGTAAGTAAGATGGGAACAAGTTATCAAATTAATACAACATACAAATGAAAATGTTCATACCTGTGAACGTAGCTTGGAAAACTTTGCCTGCGGTGCCAATTCGATAAAAATGATATCAATTATTGGCCTCAAATCAGGCATCTCTTACAGCTGCGCAGAGTATTATCACTTACACTTCCTAGCGATGAAACTTTGGATGAAACGACAACTCTGCATGTTTTTCTCACACCGTGACATTTTGATTTGAAGAATCATCACAAGCACATGGACTTAACAGTCTACTTACTTTGATGCACTAAAGAAGAAATCCACTTTATTCCAACTTGATATATTTCCTGTTTTTCTAAGCATCTTGCAAACTTTGCACTCTTCGCTTCTGTTGTAGAGCTTGAGAGAATATACGTCTAGTAGAGGGTGATTAACATGAGCTCTTTGCAGCTTTTCAAAGACAGAGAGTCCAGCTTTTGATGGTGATAAAGATGAAAACAGACTGAGAAGAAGTGTTGTCATGTTCCTCAGGTCACGTTCAGATCGCTCAGGTTCCAGGCAGGAATGAGCCTGACAGCGCTGGAGAGCTCAACTACAGCTACCTTTTCAAAACGCTGGAGACCCACGGCTACCAGGGATACATTGGCTGTGAATACAAGCCGCTCAGTAAGGGTTTGTAATGTTTTGGTAATTTTGGTGCTCATTTAGAAAACAGCAGTTAATTATGCTTCCCCCCCCCCACTGCAGGCTCCACAGCGGAGGGTCTGGGTTGGATAAAACAGCACTTGACAAGCAAAAAGAGCTGAGCACAAAGCAGACAAAGTGTTCAGGTACTCCACCTGGTGTCACTCTGTTTTTGTTTACTCTGTGCCTTTAAAATATGTCACCCTCTTTGAATTGACTCAACAGTGTTTCTGTCAGAACTCAGAGTGAATAAACGTATTTCTTCCTTCTAATCATTGCCGCAACTCACACACATTTGTTCTTTTTTCAGTTGTGCATTCATTTCAGGACTAAACTAGCCTAATTAGCACAGACATAAGGCTAAAAGCTCCGTTAGTTAGCTGCTTATTTGTTCGGTGACAGCAGTGATTCAGTCCAGCAGAGATGTTCTCCTTCCGTTCAATAAAGCTCTGCAGCGTATTAATGTATGTCCCTGCTAATACACAGAGAAAGTCAGATCACAGAGGCTCTGATCATATTTTGATTAATCGTTCAGCTGGACTCAGAGTTGGAGGCCATTGATGCACCAAATCATTTCTTCTCATCCTGGTTAGCTTTGGTGTTCAGTACACAGCTCATTAGTGTTCATCTTCCTGGCCCTCATTGGTTGCTAGACTTCACACTGGGATGATTTCATGCACAAATAATAACAGCAGCTTTTGTAGAGTTTAGGAAAGATAAAATCTTTGTGGTTTAAAAATCTATAATATGAAAGCAATAATTACCTTTGTTAGAAGCACTGGTGTTCTGTTCTGAAACAGATTCAAACTAAACCAAAACCTGCAGTGCCTTTTAAAAGTGTTCACCTCCCTCAGAGGTTTTCCCTTTTAATTCCTTTTCAAAACTGAACCATTATTAATCAAGCTTTTTTTTGACAATTATAAAAAAAGGATTCTTTCATGTCAAAGTGAAAACAGATTTGTACGAAATGTCATGTTTTCATTTACAGAGTACAGTTGTATTACAATTCTAACCAAACAACAATTGCTCAACAGTTGATAATGTCTTGATTTCTGAAGTTTCATGAGCTAAAATTTCTCTCTGACATAGCCTCAGAATGTCACATTTAAGCTTCAATTTTTCAAAGACACGTAATGTCATTTACTAAAGATATAAAACACAAAATAAATGATAGCATAAAAATGTATCCCCTTTACACTGTTCAACACAGGTGCAGCCTATAAGTCATACAATTTCTTTACTTTGACATGAAAGGGTTTTCCCCGAAAATCCTAACCCAAAAAAAGGCGCATTTGAGGATTCTGTGTTGAAATGCAGTAAAAGGAGAACACTTCCAAGAGGACTTAATACCTTTATGGGCACTGTAAATGTTGGAACCAAATATATAAAATCTAGTTTCAATCTAAGTCTGTACCAAGATGTAGCTACATTTCTTACTCTACACATGTGTTGAAATGACAAATTCTCATCTAAATGTCATTGACTGATCATACACCAATCAGCCTTGACGTGAAAATCACCTGTTACATATTGTGTAGATCCCCTTGTGCCAAAACAGTTCTGATCTGTCGAGGCCTGAACTCCACAGACCTCTGAAGGTGTTTGTGGTATCACCAAGAGGTTAATCGCAGATTCTTTAAATCCTGGAAGTTGAGCCTCCATGCATGTTTTTTTTTTTTTTACAGAACCACTTATGAACTGTACAAATTTTATTACATAGCCTATTTTATCAAGTTAAAAGATACTACTTTGAACTTTTTACTGTGAAATCAAAATTTGGATAATTATACAAGAGGGCCCGTATGATTGTTTTCTTTTATTGTTTTCATGTAAGATCATAATTAAACTGATATCTTTTTCCCATAACAAAGGAATCTGTTTTAAGTTTTGTCTTTCGGGTGAACTTCTTCAACTGAATACCTCTGCAGGTTTTATTTTGAAGACTTTTTCTGCCTGAAGCTGCAGAAAAACCTCCAAAGGACCTCAGCTGAGAACTAAAAAATTCTGTCTTCATTTATTGTGCAGGTTTATTTCCCTTTAATTGTGAGACTTTACTTCATCTCAAATGTAAAAACAATTCAGCAGATTGTCATTCATCCTACTCTTTATTTAACATTTTACATACTGTATAAAGTGTTCTGTGTATATACACAATATACATCTTACAGTTAGTGCAGTGTTTATCTTACAGTGACAGAACGCTCAGGGCTAACTTGTTACAGTTCACATTTTGCATGATGAATATCCAGTGTTTAACATTCAGGCTGAGCTCCATAAAAAAGCCCAAACATGTAAAATTGTGTCGACCTCTAAGGCTGCTGAATATGTCAGTAATGAAGGTACTGCAGTGGATATCATGTTTAACAGTGCCGTGTCGGGCTGCTTGGTGCCCTATTCCAAACTGAGGTATGATTACCAGCCGCACTGTTTCAGAAAACACGAGTCAAACTCGTCACCCCCAACATGCTTTGGAAACACTCGGCGCTGATGACATGTGGCATGCTATTATGCAAATCACCAAAGTTAATGTGACCCATTTTCTTGCTTATGAAAGGCAATTTTTGTCACTTTTCTCTGAACAGGCACTTTCACTGCACAACAACAGGCATGTGTTTCCACAGATGTCTTGTGCAGAGCCGATGGAACAACAACAGCATCACGTCACAAGTTTGGGAACGAAAAAAAAGGGGGAAGGGGGGAAACAAACAGAGGAAGGCACTTCAGGGCACCACACATGGCAGTGGGGTTCAAGTGGTTTGACACGTTTGAAAATTAAACATAAAAGCCTTCATATCGAGGACACGACACCTCAGCTGTCTCTTGCTCTTAAAAAACACTGATGTGGTGTGAAGAGCTAGCTAAATGCTATCAAAGGCACAAGATCCAAGATGACTCCGACCCTCTGTTGACGGAGTTTTAAACTTGTGCAGTTAGATCATCAGAGGTGTACCGTCACTGGCTCACGACTGACTTTGAGCATGAAGCATCAGATTTTGCAAGTCCAAACTGCTGACATTCATGTGGGGTGTTTTTCTGTCGCAGATAAGGAGAGAGAAACAGTAAAAAGCAATGTCTTCTTCATTGATACAAATGTTTCAGAGCGGAGCACAGAACTCTGGGGGATTCTTCCACTTCCCCCTCCACTACCGTGGAGGCTCATGGGACGCCTTCCTCCAGCTCAGAGTGATGCGTCTGTCAGTCAAAGGCTCAGTGTTACAGGTCCTCAGGAAGACCTGATCCCTGCAAACCTCGAGGATGCCTTGTCTGGACTTCTTAGGTTGAGGCCAAACCAGATGGCAGCAAGTCTCTAAGCTGAGCAAGACTTTGATAACACAAGCTGCACGTTCAGTGAGCCAATCAAACACTGGAAATGACTGAATGTGTCAACTTACATTGCACCTGTTAAAGAGGCTTAAGGGTTCCCCCAGGACCTGGTTAGTGGAGGCAGTCGGCTATGCTGCCCCTCCCTTGACTTCCCAACTTGTGAAAACTCAACAGAAAGATGTGCTGTGATTATCACCTGAATCCCATCCTGATGCATCCTGTCTTTTTATCAGTGTAGTCACGTGGTGGTGTTTAAAATGATAACCTGTCTCATGAAATACTTGCTGGATAAAATAGAGCAGACACTGTGCGGACTTGGCCCCAATTCAACTCTTATCGATCGCCTATGAGTTATTTTAAAATCAGATACTTGACGTTGTTGATATCACATTGCCTGATTAACTGAACTTTCAGCAATTTGGCTGCTGGATGATCATTTGGATTTCTGTCAGGTTAGAGGTTTTGGTGAGCTGTCTGCAGTTTGATTTCCCACTTGGCTAGCAAAGATCAAAGATCTCCGACAAATGGTAGTGAGCTCGTTTAACCCTCTGAACCCCAAGCAGTTTCTGGGCTTCTGACTTTCTTTGCTTCTGTCACATTTTTACACAGTGTGGGCTCATATTTCACTACAATATAAAGTCCTGCGACTGGAAACAACAGAGCCATAGATAGAAATAGAGAAAACTATAAAATGCCATTTGTTCAGTATGGACAGTTATAATGCTATGAATCATAAAAAAAAGAATGACTAATTTCTTTAAATGTTCATTTTAAAGAAACTGAAAAGACCTGGAATCAACATGGATAATATTTTACCAAGCACCCACAATACTGGAAGAACTATGGTGACTCTACACTGCATGGATATTTAACAATGTACTTTTTATTAACCTACTAACCTCAAACTAGCTGCTTTTTACACTACTTTGCACATAAAATCTAGAAGGCTTCTATGTATACTGTTTATGATCCATGCTGCAGTTATTTAATTGATGAAATGTAATTTATTTTCCTCTCAGATAACATGCCTTTCAAACCTGCCAGTGGAGTTTGGGCTTCAGAGGGTTAAGCATTACTTTGCATGTTCTGGCTTTTGAATAGCAGAATAACATAAAGCATTCTGCCTTTCTCTCCCTTTGAAGACTGTAGTCTTTCAATGAACTTCATTGGAATTGTGAGCACACAGAAGTGAATGGGATTTCTAGACTAATTTTCAGTGTGAGCTCCATGTGGGTCAGTAGATTTGTACATTATGGGCAGAAATGTAACAGGACCTGTTATAAGCTGCTTATATAACGTGATAAAAATGCATTTTGTGAGTGTGAGACATTTATAAAAACGATGTCTGCTCGGTTTTATGTGGCAACTCTGATCACTTTCCTTTAAGTATAATATCTGAAGCACATATATCAGAGATTTAAGGCTGATTATAAACTAGCAAATGAAGACTTTTTGCACAGCAGTTATGAGATACTTAGTTTTAGTTTGGGGCGATTTGAGCAAAGAACTCTACGCCAGTTCTAGGAGAGAAAAAGAACCGGAAGCAACTCACAAAGTTGGTTTCTGTCACGTCCATTTCGGGTGGACACAGACTGTGGCATAAATACAGTAGTGTTGCTGACCAGCATGATGCTCCTCCAGCACCAGAGTGCTGGAGAGTTGTGTAGCTGGGAGAACACCTGGCAAGAGGGTTTCCTCCAAATGAACCCTCTCTAGAACTTCTTGCTCTCTGTGTCCCTGTGTTATGACATGAGTCGAGGTAGGTCCAGCTCTACAACAGTCCTGTCCAGAGGTTGTAGCAGGCGGTGTTGATGACAGACTCCAGGTGGTGGTACATGGACACCAGCTGAGGAGGAGGGCTGCCGCTGGCCTGTGGCTGTGTTGGCAGCGGCTCCCGAAACACAACCTTTAAACTCTGCGGGAGAAAGCAAATGTAAAAAAAAAAAAAAAATGGAGAAAAACCATGACCAGAATTACTACCTCGTGGCTGTTTGTCTCTGCCAATCAGGCAACTTACCGTTTACGTTGTCATCTATCCAGACTGACATAGTATCTGATGTGAAGACTTTGACAGAATTTTAAAAACCCTGTTAATGTCTGTAGATTCTCAGCATTCCAAGTAATTGTAATCCTAAGTCCTTTACTGGAAGGCAGCTGGACTCTTTCTTTTTTGGTTCTAGAAAACTTTTCACCTCTCATCCAAGAGGCTTCCTCAGTTCTGACTGATAGGGATTCCCAGGAATTTTTTCTTGACCCCACTTCACATGACAAATGGCCCAATACCAACCCAACAATCACATGCCCTGACGTGTGAATGGTGGTGAAATATTCTGGGTACAAGTCTCTATTTAGAGATGTGTTTAGTTTGTTAAAAAATATCCTGGTGCAGCTCAGAGCCAGCAACACTGGCTCACCCTGGATAAAAGGATAAAACAGCCAAACACAAATCACGAGCCAAGTTGTATATGCAACACAATGCAGCGAGGAGTGCACACATCTACACATAAGGGAGACTAAACAACCCCTCCAGAAGTGCATGACACAACACTGGATAGCCAGCTCCTCAGGACAACACTCGGCAGTCCACCTGCATCTGACGGATAAGGGACACTACTTTGAACACAACAATGTCCACATTCTGGACAGAGATGACTTGACAGTTTGAGAGGAGTGAAGGAAAACATTATTTATTAAACTGTAACAGCCATCTATGAACAGAGGAGGAGGTCTATGATGCTACAAATCAGGTAAACAGTCTCGAGGTCTCAACCCAAACAGCTTCAACACCATTAACACCTTGAGTGATCCCTCTCCAGGAAGTTTCACAACTATTCACACCTCCAGGCATGTGAGCCTTATGCTGTTAACAGTCCATTAGCCATGTGATCTTGGGGTAAGAATAAATTCCTGGGACTACCTCACCTCAATAAAATTGTCTGAATCTGAATAACTTCCTCATTTTATCTTTTTAGACTTGTGTGAAATCAGGTCATAATAAGCGTATGAATTCCTTATGTTCAGTTCTGAACAACAAAAAGTGTCAAAAACAAAAAACATCAAGGCGTGTAAGAGATATCATATTCATATTCAAACATAATGCCTACAGCCTCGGCAGTTGCCGGTGCGACACTATAATAAATCATATCAGTGTGATAACTTACAGTTTTTCCAGCTTGGGTGTCCAGAAAGACCAGAACAAAGCAGTCAGTGAACTTCTGGTTAAGAACAGCCTGAAACAAGACAAGGATTAAGAATAACTTCACATTTTTAAAACCCAAATTGCCTATTTCCAAAGATATTAAACATCAAGCACTCATATCGATAATTTGCTACTAACTGCTACTTACTGTATGGTATTGCTGGCATTTCTTTGCCTGTTCCTGTGTGGATGTTGCGTCACATTTACAACTAAAATGTGCATCAACTCATAATGAGGGAACCTCCTGGATACCGTGTTACTGTCTAACACTACGGTTATAGTATGGCCACTGGAAATACAGCAAATTTGTAGGATAAGTCTGGTTGTACTTGTCATAAAATCCTATGTGAAGTCAGTCTAAAGTGCTGGATGGAGGCTCTGGATCTAAAAAGTGAAGCTTGTTGCAAAAAGAAATCTGATTGTACAGATGTCTATGAGAAAATGATGTGACTTATCATTTGATTTATTACACCAGTAAACATTTTCCTAATGAGTTTTTGTAAACACAGCAATCTTATATTTAATACAATGACTGAGACAAGTAATATGTTGACTACAGTAATGTAACTGAAAATAATTGTTCCTCTATATACACTTAAATAATGTAAAAACCAAAGAAGTGCTACTTTTCAAGATTCCACTAAAATACAACCACTAACAATGGGTACATGTCTCCTTCTTCTGTCATTCTCCCTGCTGTTTCTGTTTGTGCTTCATTTACCCTCGTTCAACTGAGCAGTGAACTAAAGAGCATCTTCTCACCAGATACTGGATGCCGTTGTCGTCGAAGTGTCTGCAGCTCTGGGGGAAGCGGTTCAGCAGGACTTTGATCAGACTCTGGTACCAGGCTGGACTCATGGTCAAGAAACAGTCCTGCAGTAACACATCACACTGCCATTACAACAACCTGCCAGCCATTAGCCATAAATGCTATATATTAGATTAATGTTTTTTTAATGACTCTGCTTCCTGTTCCATAAATAAAATCTCTTGACATGGTGTTATCTGCTGGCATGGTTGCATGATATCAGCTGACATTTTGATTCCTACGCTGATGGATATCTGCTCCATTGGTTACTACGGTTGATCGACATGAAAACGAGAGCCTGACTGCAGTACAATAAGACTAACAGTAAAAACAAGAAATCATAGACGTTTGAAGCCTGCCGTTAAAGGTATTTAAACAGAAATTTCCCAGATATTGTTCTGCACTGAACAAACAGTATTTTGACCCTCAGTGGCAGAGTTTTTGTTTATTTTATTCTGTCTATACACTTTTTTTTAGTGACAGTAACAGAAACTCTCAGAATAGCCACCAAATTCGTGTGTTTCTGGTTGGTCAGAACTACTTGTTTGAATGGGGTGTAGTTAAAATGGATCCATGTGGCATTAATGGCTGCAGAGAAATGATTCTACAAGTTTTTCCGGAAAAAATGTAGCAAAGGGATGTAACTCCACTTCTATGAGTACTTGCTTAGCTCTTCAATCTTCAATAATAATTGAGAAACAGTAGCAGAGACTGGTAGCAGCCATCTTAAGTGGTCCGATACTGTGAAAACTCACAAGTCATAGACATGAGGCTCTTTCAGTCATGACCTTCTTTTCAACATAAACACAGCATTATGTCTTCTATGACCTGGATAGCAATGAGTTGTAACAAAAAACATTGCTGTAAAAAAAGTGTGTGTGAGTAAGAGAACATAAGGGAAGGGAAAGAAGGGAAGGGGGTGTTGGGCAGTGAACACCTGGACTTGAAACAGAATGTTCAGAACTTGACTGGAAATGTTTTGGTCTTGACTTGGGACTAAAGTTGTAATTTATTGGTCTTGACTTTGGAGTAAATTTGGGATTTATTGGTCTTAAAATGGAGCTCATGGTAGGATTTATTGGTCTGGACTTGAGACACAGGTTGGGATTTAAAAGCCTTTGACTTAGGACAAAAGTTGGGATTTAATGGTCTTGACTTGGGACCAGAGCTGGGATTTAATGGTTTCAACCTGGGACTTAAAAAACCTGTTCTGCTGTGACTTGAAAACAGTGACTGTGTACCACAAATACATGTAATATAGTGAGTTGGAAAACTGTGATGAATAAGGTGGGTCATAATTTTAAGTGTTTATTTGCATTACGTTTAGGTGGAAGTCTTACCAGCTGCGGGTCGATCTCCGCCACCGATCGGCTCTGCACTGCCTCTAGCAGCTCCTCCAGCTCACTGAATGACAGTTTGGCCAGCTTTAGTTTGTCCAGGGCCACGTGCTCTCCATGAAACAACCTCCTCCACAGGTTATCCCTGCGGCAGTGACCCATGGCCTGCTCCACGCTGGTCTGGATCTGTCTGCGGGCCGACGCCACCTCGTTATTGAGCAGCGGGAACAAAGGGGAGGCGTAGAGCAAACCCTGAGCCTCTGGTCCACCGCCAGCCAGAGGATAAAACTCATTGCCGTCGCTCGGGGCCAAGGAGGCTGCAGCTTCTGAGGAAGTTTCCTCCCAGAGGTCCTGCTCAGAGCCATGTGACCCAGAGGCTTCTGCTCGATCTTGGGATAGCCGCCCACCCAGCTCAGCCGGATCACGGTGGATCTGAGGAAGCTTCTTGAAGCGGCGCATGTCAGCGGTGAGGCGGGGGAACAGCTCTCTCTGACTTGTCATGATCACATAGAACCGCAACCTATGCATGAAGGTTGAAAATTATTTTATTTCAAAAACGGGATGGGATTCTTGATACCAGGAGTTTGTCAGATACCGCAGATGATTTCAGCTAATCACAAATGTATCTTTGATGAAGCACTGACTCACTGCTGCAATAACTTTAGCCAGCATCAGATACTGGACAAATACGGCTGTATTTGTTTATTTCATTTGTGACAGGCAGAATATGTTTCTCTTTTCCATTTAAGTCTTCAATACACATGTTTAGCCATCAAAGTCTAAGATTTATGACTATTATTACCTGTCTGATGTTTAATATTGTTCATTTTACACTTTATTTTCTTTAATCTTTTCGTTCATATCTCCTTACCTCAGCAAATGCCTCTCTCCATCTGACTGCTCTTCAAATGGCGCAGCATTATGACACACCACCAGCGACACGTCAAAGTCATCGTGGTGGTGCAGGCCCTCCAGATCCTTGTAGGAGCCCGAACTAAAGCAGTGAAGAACAAAGAGAATGTTGGACTGAAGCAGCTCCTGGGAAGACAGCAGATGTATTCTTGGATCGGGGTATATTTTCACCTGTTCCACAGAGCCACCAGCGCGTATTCATGCATCTCAGGCATCCCCTTCTTGTTGTCAGTGGCGACTGCAGCCTTGGACATGCGGAGCGGCTTCATGCTGTACGTGCTGGCGTGGTCAGTGATGTAGTTGTAGAGCTGGTGAGCCGTTATCATTCCCGTGGAGATGGAAAAGCTCCCTGATTTGCACAAGGATCAGAGACTCTCAGAGATAATCACAGATATTCCAGCTCCTCCTGTCTACCCACAGAGCCTCAAAAGCCTTCATGTAAAAACACAATGCAAATACCCATCTGTTATCTCTTTTGAGAGACTTCCTGGTATGTCTCAAACAGTGGTGCTCCACAGATATTAGAATTAAAGCACAGAAGATTTACTTCATCTCTTTTCTATGGCAGTAAAACAGTTCTCTTTAAGCCTGCGATGAGCAGCAGAGGGAGATGAGGGAGATGCTTAACATGCAGTGCAGGTTCAAAGCTACACTCATAAGTTATTTTGTTGAACACATAAAGGGCTTAAAAAATGTACACAACTTCCAAACTAAGGCTTCCCTATTTCCTCTCTGTCACTACCACTCACAATTGTTTTGGAGAAACCAGCTCCAAACAAATCTTACTTTGAAATATGAACAACATAAAATGGTGACAGGTAGAGCAAAATTATTTCAGCTTGTGTGGTATCAGTATTAAGATACTGACAGATGAGGCGACAGCCTGAGTCTCAAGCCTGCTACAGATCCATAACATTACTGCTCTGTCAGTTTATTAAACTGAAAGCATTCTTTCATTCAAACATAGGTCACTTTTACGACAATGTTTCTCTCTGCTTCATTCAGACGGACATACCGTGTGAGATTGGACAGCATCTTACATGTATGAAAAAAAGTTTTCTGGCCTCTCAGTTTTGCCAAGGAGGGCAGATTTTTTGTTTTTTACAGGATCTGCTGCAAATGAGTTAGTTTTGCACCAGAAGTAACCACATGTCACAGACGGTTAGTTCAAGCAACATTGGAATGTTGAAAATACAACGATTCTTCCTGTTTGTAGAGTTTCTGGCTCCATTAACTGATGGAAATTTGACCTTTTTTCATAAGATAATATGCCTTTAAAACCTATTGGCAGGTTTTGGGGTTCAGAGGGTTAACAGAAGCTCTCTCTTATACAAGAAGGTGGTGGTGTAAGTGACTGTGCCAATGAAATTGACACAATCTTGATTAGCATGAACTTATTGAGTGTTTGTTCGTAAATCTCCTCTTCACCCTTTATGAATTCATCATGTGATGTATTTGTCTGAATATGCTTATCCCAGGGCAAACATTAGGTTTGTCTGCCGATTGCTGGTGATTCTACTGTCCATAGTGTCTGCAGTTACAGGGTGAAACACACCAAAGTCACCTTGAAAGACGTGGTTGCGGCCAAACTTGGGAATGTCCGGATGATGGGAGATGAAGTCGTCTAGGAAGTCGGTGAGCTGGTAGCCCTGGCGCAGCGTCATTTGGCAGCCAACCAAGTACTGGTGAACCACTCGCAGGTGGAAGTCGTAGCTGAAGGAGTGGACGTGCATCAGATCCCGCACTTTATCACACTCCTCAGTGAAGAGCATGGAGAGCTACAAACAGAGGCGTTAACACAGTCATTTACCAGCACAGAGAAGCTAGCTGACAGTCACAGGGCTGCAGAAGGTAATCTAACGCCAAAGTCAAATCTGATCTGATTACATTGATAGAACTCTGAACGGCAATCTGTGTAATCATCATTAGTGAACCTGCTCTCCATTTGAAGGGAAACGCCCTGCTGTTTCCAGAATTGACAGTTTTGTGCAGTGCACCTTAAGGCCTGCTGCTCTGTGACTTCCATTGCTCCTTGGTGGGAGCCTTTTGTTAGCAACTATGATATCAATCAGATTCATAACAGTATCTTAATTAAATCCAACATCAAAAGGGGGCTAACAAAAGCAATAATTGCAAATGCAAATGGCTGCAGTGAGAGGTGGTGGTGTGCAGTTAATTACAGCACAATAGGAGTTTACAGGGAGAGCTAACTGAAACTCTTGCACTTGCTTTCATCTGGACCACTTGCCTGGAACAAATACAAAGAAGCTTCATCTAATCAAATAGGCAGTCAAAGACTGCACAGCCTGCTTGAACTAGAGAAAACTTTCATCTCTGCGTTGGTGTCTGGAACTTTTCGTACCTTTTCCTGCCTCAACATTTGTCCAGAAGGGCAGCAGACTTTGATCACTCACCTCACCACAGAGATAAGAATGAGAAGGAATATTCTTTTGGCACAGAGGAATGAAAAGATGAACATTAACATTTCTCTCCCTGGTGGTGTTCCTGCAGTCTGGCAGACAAATTAAATGTGACCTCTTAGCCTGCTATCTATGGAGCTAGGATGCCACTGGGACGTCACAGATCTCTTTGGCTCGTAGGCAATACATTTGCTGTGTGTGCGTCCTCTTGACTATCAAGCTACCATTTATTATTTCCTCACCTATGATCCCAGATGGTTCATGTTCTAGCTAATTAAACACCCTGTGTAACTTTGACAAGAACAAATTGCTAGGTTGAGTTGCGCGGCTGCAGCTCGTCTCCTGTCGGCCGCACTCAGTGGAAGTGGAATTAATGACAGTGGCTACATTGACGGGAGAAGCTGTAATCATTGAGGTCATACAAGAAGAAGAGAATACACAAAGCAAGCTGATTGAAAACAGACAAGGAGAGTCGTGATAGGAAAGCCTAAATCTGGTGACATCCATTGACATTTCACTTTGAGGCTTCATTCTCTGTCCTGGAAACACACACATATTAAGTAAGGTTATTATTATTTATCAAAAAGTGAAGAGACTCTTCCTGCTCAGCATGCACGGTACGCATCCCAGTTATGTGCATGCAACATGTGCAAGCAGTAGCTTTGATGAGTCAGAAGACTGTGTGAGATCCCATTTTCAACTTCAGTGCATGTGTTCCACATCTTTTTGTGACCACTGGCAGGTGCAAACCTGCGATTTCTCCAAGAATTTGCTGTGTCAGTCAGCAGCTGGGATGATCAAACCTTCATGTGGAGGATCATCAGTGGGGACGAGAGGTGGATCTGTGGTTTCTTACCCAGAGACCAGACAGCAGTTGTCAGTCTCCAAGCCCAGAGAAGGAGAGTCAGGTTAGGAGCACACCAAGAGATGCTGTTGCTGATGTTTTCTTCGACATTCACCTGGTTGTCCACTGTGAATTTGTCTCCCCGGGTCAGACTGTCATGGCAGAACTGTACTGTAACATCATTAATGTGTCCTTCGGGTGTCTGAGGGAGAACAGTGAGCATAAACGACCTGAGCTGTGATTCGATGGCATGTGGATGCTCAAACAGCGCTCTGGCCTGCTCACACTGCTGTGATTACAAATGGGTTTTTTGGAAACACCAACACAATCGTTGCGCTCCATCTGACATATCTGCCTCCCTGCAACTTCTTCTTCTTCTTCCCCAAAATAAAACTCAAGTTGAAGGGTTATTTGACATCCCATCGCAGATAGTTTTGACATGCTTACGTAATGGGACTTCTAGAAATTTGTTTCAAATGTAGCAGGAGGGCTGGGAGCAGTGTGTGCCTGCACAAGGAGACTACTTTGAAGTGAATGGCAGCCAAATTTAAATCAGCTCAAGTTTTTGATTTTTATAGGCGCAGACTCAGAACTGTTTGATCTCACCTCGTATACACACAACTATCTGGGGCACTGATCTGAAATCCGGAGCAATACGCTGTAAGCTGATTGTGAAGACGTGCACAAATGCAGTGTCTAAAAACCACACATGGCGCTTACACATGACGTTGTCAGGGTGTCCATGACACCTTTTACGTCTTCTGCTTACAATGTCATTTAATATCTTTGTTTTTTTTAAAAATATCTCTTAAGGTCAAATGAACTGAATCAGTCATCAAAAAAAGGAAATTGTTGACATCACTGCAGCCCAGTCACTGACTTGTTCTCTGTGGTTTTCCCTGATTTAAGTTATTGGCATGTAGAGTTTGAACAGAAGTGGTCCTAGAAACAATCCTTGGGGAACGCCCATCATTTTTGTTTTCTCAGACTAAAGCAAAGTCATTTCTGCCATTTTAACATGATGTGAACCAATTCCGTATCAGAAAATCCTACCTCTGTATATGTCACAGACTGGCTCATCCACAATGTGCAGAGCAGCAGCAGCACGTTTTCAGCTTCATGTTATAGAAAGACTGATCCTTTAAACCCAAAGACATAGTGGAACTTATATTGGAAGTAGGCCTGACTACCACAGATGCAAGAGAAAACTACAGATTGTCAGAGAAAGTGGAGAGGAAACAACAGCAGCAGAGACACCCAAACCAACAAGCACAGAGACGACAGCCTGCTGAAAGTCACGGAGGAAAAGTGAATCACAGAGGAGCTTGGCTCAGACCTCAGTCTAAAAAAACGATGCATTAATACCTGACTGTGCCCAGACTTTTACATCCAGCTAAACCTGCTACTTACTTCAGAGTCGAGTTGTGTTTTAGCAACTGTAGCTCCCACAGCTATGAAAGCACGCTTCATTTAACACTGAATCCCACTCATTCCCAAAGAGAAAAAAAGACAGACATGTAGATTTGGAAAGGAAAAGACCAAGATGGATGGCAGCAAGCAGAGTGGCGAGGAGGGGTGAAGCCTGATTGGAGTGAGACACCCCTCCCTTGAGAATGGCTGGGACATACCGCACAGTCAGATACTGGGGTGGCATCTGGAAACGGCTTGCAACGAGGTTTGGTGAGGAGGCTGCCCTGATGGAGAGATGACATGAGGTGGGACTAGGCAGACACAGAGACACACAGACAGATAGATGGAAGGGAAGACTGAAGATGGACTACAGGAATAAGTAAGAACCTTTTTTCATGCTTTAAAAATTCACATTTCAGACACACATTAGAGCTGTGAACCTCCACTTGATAAGACTGAAGTCCACATTTTTCATAGCAAAACATCATGTTGGTTGCAGATCAGACTACTTAATTCTTTCATTGCTTGTGGACAAGATCACAACAACTATATGGAGTTCACTTCTAAAGCCACAAATAGGCACTGTTGACAGGAGCTGATACCATCATCAGATTTACAGCAGGTATAATTAGAAACCATCAATTCCTGTGTATATTTACATTCTTTATGCTATATCCATTAAATTGGCTGGTCGGTTAAGTAGTTATATATATATTTTTGCCAGTTTATTGTCACAGCAGGAGCCCATGAGTTGTCTTTTGTGCTGCAACAAACTAAAGACAGTTACTGTTGATACTAATGCACCATTTCCTGTATGTGTTTTAGCATAAATATCTTCTATTCTGACAGTGCTACCAAGGTCAGCTAAATGCGCATCACTTAGAAGAGTTTATCATAAAGAAACATTTTGAAATTCTGCCACACTTCTTGCCCTTATCACTGTTTGAAACTTTGTATGCACACTGTGTAGTTTGGAGGAGTGCCACTGGTTCCTGAGAAGACACACACACACATCACAAATTTTGCAGTTCACGGGTCGACACTACAAAAAGTTTAAATAATTAAAGAGCATTTTTTACTCAGATTTTCAAGTTTAACATTGTAATTTTTGGTCTCGACTATGATATGTTGAGATGCTTTAATGTAAAAAAAAAAAAAAAAAAAAAACACAAAAAAAACACACACACACTATTTATCTCATACTGTACATTACTGCGGCGCCTCTTCACAGCCACAACCACAACACAGCCCCACCCTGAAGCAAACCTGCGTTATCGCCTGTTTTCCTCCAGATGGGAACATAATTTCCTAAATGAACACTTAATGCTGTATTCAAAAAGTCTTCAAACTTTTGAAAAAGACCAAGAGATTATGGTCTTTTGAAAAGACCGTAAACTCAAAAGGAAAAAGTTTACTGAGAAATAATCTGTCCAGCTGCTGAATCTTCACTTTATTGTGACAGATTTTACATAACTGCAGTGACAGTTTTCACAGTAATGGAAAATGATTCAGAGCTTGTACTTAGCACTTTAGTTTGGAAAGATTGAAACATCACTCATATTAATCATAGACTGTATATACAGATGGATGAACCCTTGGTGATGTCACCCATATGTTCCCTGCAGAGCGGTTTTGAAGTTCAGTGTGGTGGCTCAGGCCGTCGCCATGCTGGCAGCTCCTGACTCCTACTGACAGGCTGCTCTTTTTGTTGGGACGTCGTGAGGCGTCTGAGATGCAGCAGTGCTTGCCGTCAGCAATGGAACACTACAGGAAATAAAACCACCAACTGTCTGATGCTCATTTTCAGCTCTGATGCTAAACATTTTTAAGTTAGTGCTATTTTGACACTGGTGTTGTAACATTAAAGGTACAAGAATTGGTTTAATTTTAGTATGATTATAATAACGATGGAAATTAATGGGTATTTTAATAATTATTTTAATACTGATTGATTTTAATATTTTGAATATATATTACTGTAGACTTACTACACAGAGATGTTTTAGGAGCTGCATTTGAACTCCCTTGAAAGCAGAGCATAACAATTAATCAATCATTTGTCAACTATTAAACCAACCACTGACTATTTTGACGAACACTTATTGGGTTTGAGTTAATTTTTAAAGAACAAAGGATTAAAATCCTCTTTTCAGCTGCTTAATTCTGAACAATTTCTGGTATTATTATTCCTCTATGACAGTAACCTGAATATCTCGAGGTTGTGGACAAAACAAGATATCTGAGGAAAACATTTGGGGTTCTGAGAAACACTGATCGACATTTTTCTTTTTTTTTTAACCAATTTCTGATTAATTGATAAAACATTCGACAGATCAATGAACAATGAAAATAACTGTTAGTTGAAAGATAGAACTACTGTTGATACTAATGCAAGACATTTTCATTACATTATCCCTTTAGTGTGTGGATATCAAGGTAGGCCAAATTAGAGTGAGATTATATAATTTTTCAAATAAGATAAAGCATAATCTGGCAAACTAAAACAATCCCATATTTCCACTACAGTTTGATTTTTCAAGAAAAGCACAAAACATGAACATTAACAATTGTTGAGTTTCATTCCTAATATTTATTTCTTCCTGTCACATGTCAACCTGTTTTTCTGTGTTTTCTATTCAAACCATCATTTATGTGTAAATTACATTCTAAATTGCATTTATTTATCTAATAATTGAGCATAATTTGATTACGGAGCTTGTCCATACTGGTTCACATTTCACACAAGAGCCCTGATAGTGTGGCAACAATTTCAGATCCAAAACAGTCACGTTTCACATGAACTGCAATTATAAATCCTTCTCTCACACACATATCTCTGCTTTTTAGACAGACAATTCAATCTATACATAAGACATGTTATTTATTTTGGCCTAATTTGGTTGATTTCAAGCCTTTCCCTGTGTGTTTGTGGCTGTCTTGAGCACACAACAGCTGAAACGAATGCACCCTTTCTTCCTTTCCCACCACTTAAACCCTTTTGACACCCCACTGTGCACAGAGCCACCATCTCTTTTATGACAGTCAGCCTCTTACATCACTGTGTAGACATTTTGACAGCAATACTGGGAGGGAAACAAACACCATGACATCTTTGAAAACATCCCTCTGCCTTTGGCACATCAAAGTGCACCGGTCCCCAAATCTGAAAATGGATCCGTCACAAGTGGGAGTGATGTTCACCTGATACAGAACCAGAGTAGGGGGTGAAAATGTGGGGTTGTTGGCACGAGGGATTAGAGCTGCACCATAAAGGCCTGAAATCTTTCAAAAAATGCAAAATCACAGATGTGAAAAATTGCCTCTCTGCTTATGTAAAGATCACACAAATCACAGCTTTACATCTGAGGAGATGTACAGGTGAGAGCAGGGCACCATGTTTGGACCTTGTTTTCCACTGTGACTGAACCCTTCTCAACTGTTTAGAACACCCCAGAAAGAGGAAGTAAATGTCATAATTTATCTAAGAAACAACACGGGGGAAAATTAAAGGCAGTGGATGACATTTCTTGGAGTTGAACACCTATTTAACAACCATTTAGTTACAAATATACAAACTGTGAGCTTTCTCTATCTTGAAAAAACTCAATTTCACCTTGACTATAACAGCAGGCAGGTTTGCATGTGTGTCTGCTGTACAACACTCCTTCTTTTTTCTTGCAGTAATACATCTTTTGGAATGCACAGCATGAAACAGTACGGAGCAGAGAAGCCAATGAAGTCTGAAAAGTGACACAGTGTGAATAACACCCCGGATAGTGAAAGTACTGAAGCAAAGTTATTTTCTTTCCAGATGAACAATCACTGTTGGACGGCATCAGGATTTCATCTTCGCAGGCACTTACATTCTGAAAGGGTCTGGACTGAAAAACAAAGAAATACACAGACCTAGAGTGGGCAGAAACCTCAGTCCAAAGACAACTGTCAGTTTAACTTATATTTGGAGACAAGAAAACTAAAATATAGGAAAAAAATGTTTCCAAATTAAAGAATGTTCACATTTCCTGGAACTGGATTTAATGCCATGCTTCTTGCTTCATTTTAATAAACACATTGCTGACAGATTAACGGCAGTGATTGGAGAGCATCAATTAATTAGCTGGCATGCTCAAAACAACTGATGAATCTCTCATAGCTCATGTAACTTGCACTACATATTGTAATTGTTGAGTCTTGTTGGAATTAATCAGAGTTTTAAACACCTGTTTTGTTGTGGTTTCATGCTGTTGTCTTGTGCTGTGAAGCAAATCAGCAAATGTGCTGCCAAACTGAATATTGTGTTTCAGTGCAAAAAAGCTTGAGGATTCTAAAGGCTTTATTTCTCATGGACCCTACTGAGCTGTCTACCTGACTGTAACTTTAATACTCTAGAAAAAAAAATTGTGTTGAAGATGATCTTGTTCGGGTTTCAGGTTGGTTTTATGTGCTGCATTTCGTTGATGGTTTTCAATTCTGCGTTTGTCCATTGTATCTTGTAGTGGGAACTAGGTGACATTGGGTTGAGTGAAACAAAAAAAGTTCACTGCCACTTGCCAGTTCACTGTTGGTGGCAGTGCTCAATGTCATTCAGCTGCCTCTTCAGTGAGTCTCCACAACTCCCCTATCTATGACTGCTGATGGCAACAGAAGTTCTTGTTCTGCTGTTTGGGAGATCTGCTGCCAACTAAAGGTCCATCCTAATCGGAGTCATCAAATATAGACTCCAGGGGCCTCATTTATCATCAGTGCGTAGGAAAGGTTCTAAATTCTGTTGTACGAATGAAATTTAGAGTGAGCGTAAGTACAAAAAAATCCGTATTTATCAAACATGCGTAAGGGGGTCGTACGCACATCAGTTTTGATAAATCGCACTTGTTCTTAACCTCCGTGCTCGTGCATGTTGCCATCAGGAACGCCTCCAAATCACCATATAGGGCAACAACACGCCTCTTTATAAAGCAAGTGAAGATTTATTTTTTCCTCATCTGTTGTCATCATTGTGGCAAAAAGGGCGAAAAAGAGGAACTTTTATGAAACTGAGATCGAGGTACTTGTCAGCGAGGTTGAAGCAAACCAGAAAATTTTGTTTGGTGCCTGAAATGTTGGGATAAGCAGCGACAGAAAAAATATTGCAGCCAAGATAACCACCGCAGTTATTTCTGTTGGTCAGAGGACAGATCGCCGGCAAAAATTTTAAAAAGTGGTTTGACGTTAAAGTCAGTGCCAAAAAAACACATCACAGTCCATAAAAGAGAAATGGCTGCAACTGGAGGAGGATTAATTAATA